CGATTAAGTTGGTTTTCCACTTCATTCTTATAAAGAATGAATTTATCGATTGCTTCGTGTTTATTTTTCAACAAATAAACATAGCTATAGCGAGTGCTATCATCGATAAAAGTAATAAAATATTTATTACCGCCACGTGTTTGTATTGATTTAAAATCACAAACGTCACTATGAATTAATTCTAGTGGTTCCGTTTTTCTTTCAACCGATTTGAAAGACGTTTTCGTTAGTTTTGCCTCAACACAAATATCACATTTGTGCTTCACATCAATTGTGAATTTAGGAATGTGTTCCATGTTAATTAATCTACGTATAGAATTAAAATTAACATGTCCTAGTCTACCATGCCACACATTGGAAGACTCAAGCAAGTAAGAAGAAGAGACTTTATTATTATTTTTAATAATAGTCATTACATTGAGCTTAAATAGCCCATCACATGCATACCCCTTGCCCACATACATTCCCGACTTGGACAAAACCAATTTGTCCGACTCAAAAACCATACGAAAGCCATGCTTGTTCAACAACGAACCGGAAATCAGGTTTTTGCGTATCTCCGGAACGAACAGCACTTGGTTAAGAGTCAGCTCCTTGCCCGAAGTCATCTTCAAGACCACCTTGCCCACGCCTTCAACCGCGGAATGATCCGAGTTTCCCATCCACACTTTCTCACCATTTGATGGCTCAAAAGTAGTGAATAACTCCCGGTTTGAGCAAATATGCCGGGTAGCACCGGTGTCCACAAACCACTCCTTGGAATTGGATCCAACGAGGTTGACTTCCGTAACCACAGCCGCTAGGATGATGTCTTCATCCTTTTGCCCACCTTGCACCAAGTTGACGTGAGAATCTTTCTTCCTCTTTGGTGCCTTGCAATCCGAGGACTTGTGTCCATTTTTATTGCAATTGAAGTATTTTCCGTTGAACTTTGTCTTGGAAACGCCTCCCTTGGGATCGAGCTTGCTCTTCCCATTATTTTTATTTTTGGAGCTTTTAGCATGCTCCACCACGTTTGCCTTGGCGCCGTGAACAATTGGGAGTTTCCCATCGTTCTTCCGATTATCCTCTTCAATCCGCAGACGGAGGATCAATTGCTCCAAGTTCATTTCCTTTCGCTTATGCTTAAGGTAGTTCTTGAAATCCTTCCAAGCCGGCGGCAATAAATGAATAATTGATGCCATTTGGAATGACTCACTAACTGTCATTCCTTCATCTCGAATTTCGTTGAAGATCATTTGCATCTCCTCAACTTGACTCAAGACCGTCTTCGAATCCACCATTTTAAAATCAAGGAATCGACCAACAACAAATTTCTTTGCGCCGGCATCCTCGCTTTTATACTTGTGGTCCAAAGCATTCCATAGCTCCTTAGCCGTAGCTAATTTGCTATAAACGTCGTACAAAGCATCATGCAGCCCGTTCAACACATAGTTTCGGCAAAGGAAGTCAGAATGCTTCCAAGCCTCAACCGCGTTGAGAGATTGCACATCCACCTCACTCCCGGTTACAACCGGAGCGTCCTTAGTCAAGAACCTCGCAAGACCGAGAGTAGTGAGATAAAATAGCATCTTTTGCTGCCACCTCTTGAAGTTTAACCCATTAAATTTTTCGGGTTTCTCCACAGAGTTGCTTGGCACGGTAACCATAGGGATAGCCCTTTGGTTCAAAGCAGATGCTCCGCGTTGTGAACTATTGTTCACCGGAGCTCCGCTTTCAGAGTGATTGTCGTTCAGAACATTCTGCCCGACACCAATCTCGTTTTCTTGAGAAGTCATTTTCGTTTTCTTAACGTTTTTCCGAAAACACAAAAAAGATTTAAGTTCGTTCACAGAAGTGACAAACTACAGTTGAAGAATGTATCCGTATGATACAAACTTAGCAACAAAATACGTTTTAAGATTGTTGGGTGTGTTTCGGAAAATAAAGAAAATTAATTAAAATAAATTAATTAAATAAAATGACTAGAGAAAAACAAGAAAGGAGATGAAGCAGATTTAGTCAAAGCTCGTGCTACGCACGATGTCCTTAAAACGTATTTGTTGCCTCCCACAGTGCTAGGAGCGTTGCAACAATCGTTTCCCAGGATACGATGACTACGAACTAATGTTTGAGCACACAAACAAAAGTTCCAGCGAACGAGAACACAGTATGAACACAGGGGAAATTTTCGGAATGCTAGCAGTGTGCTTTTAGAGCTAAAACGTGTATGAATTTGTGTAAGAACGGGTGTTGTTGCAAACCACCTGCCAGCCATTATATAGGAGGATTTGTTGTGTGAAAATAGTGAATTAATGGACCTGAACGTTGGACATCAATGACCAGTCCGTTGAGCATTGAATCGTCCATGAACTGTCCATTTAACGCTGCATTAAAAGATAAGAACGTTGGGCATTAATTGTTGTAACGTTTCAGAAGTGCGACAGAAGACCTCCATCAGAACACCCCGAGAGGGGTTCTGATCGGAGGCCAATCAGAAGACCCCAACTCTGATCCGCGGCCATCAGAATACCCCATCTCTGATGGGCGGCCATCAGAATACCCCACGAGGGAAAAACTTAAACGTTTCGGGAAGAAAACAAAAATTAATCGTATCTCTTGAGAGATAGATTTTTGGACGACATTCGTGTCCGCAGGTCGCCCGTGCACGCAAGTCGCGGTTTTTCTTCTCCGAATTCGGGATTTGATTTGCACCCCCCCTGCGCGCGTGGAGAGAGCCTTTACCCTTAAGAATCTTAACTCCATAAGGGGGGAGTCCCTTTATAAAGGGTAGCAAATCCCTTGGGTTTTCCGGTGTGGGAAATTAACACACTAGAAACCCATCCTTTTTCCAAGTTTTTCCATTCTAACGGGTAAACTTCGAAAAGCGATTTCTCATTCACCCGTTATCCGTTTTGAGCGTACCATATATCGAATTGTAGCCCTGAACAATGACAATCCGAAACCACTTTGACCCGACCCAAATCGGAAGTGGACCCCACTCAAAAAATTGCCCGAAAATAGCCATTTAATGCAATTTTTCACACATTTTTCCAACACTGCGTGCTTCAAGTGCAAGAAATTCTCGTGTCTCGTAGTTTTACGCGCTCTCGGTAATATCTTTTTTCGCACGAAACATCTCTTATAAAAGCCGAGTTGTTGACGCAGTATTGGGCCAGTCGTGGCCCACCAATTGTCCGCCTATTGACGTAAGTAATATGCAGTCGTATCGATACGTTAATCCATTGGAGTTTCTAGTCTTGAAGAGTCTGTCAATAGCGTGAATCCAATCATCAAGAATAAGAGATTCTTCTTTGCTTAAATAAGTTGGGGATTACGACCTGATCATCAAGAAAAAAAACAACTACACGATCAGGCATTGACGACCTGATCGGAATTCAAGCATAACCACCCCATCCTCACCCACGTAGTGGCTCATCAGGAAGGGCGAGCCTTCAGCTATCACCTTGGCGGCCAATTCGTTCCCTTCCGGCAAGATTGGCATCACCCACCTCCGAATCAGCTCTCCCCACTTTTTCTCAAATGGGAGCTTGCTGTCTACCGGGGTGACCCAAACCCATCTATACTTCTATCCATTAAATGAATCCGGGTAAGATTTGGCCGCAAATAGACGATCACCATAATGACACCATAATGGCGTATAATATCTAGAAGGGCATGATGGAGAGGGAATCGTAGCCCCACTTACAGACTCGCCGGGTGAACCCCGGAATGAGAAGGCGGGGGGGGGGGGGGGGCTCCAATATATTTTGACCCGGGGTGTGGCGAGAACAGATAACACTGAACCGGAGAGGGCCATCGCCCCGTTAAATTCAGAATTGAAAAGGTAGAAATGAGTCTCAAGCCCACGAGAATCTACTGGAATTTGGGGTCAATTTGGATTGGCCCTGTCATCAAGGAAGACATTATGGAGGGGAACAGAGCTAAATGAAGACATGGAACTGACATGATGAGAAAAGTCGAGACGACGGAAGAAGTTCATGCCGCCTAGGGTTCACAACCAATAAAATGATCAGCCTGTGCGAGGTAGATTTCGCATAAGTTTTTCTATTAAAGGGAAATGTGTGCTTAAGTAGCCGAATACGATGGCACTTTTCAAAAGACCGCATGGAAGCTGCTACTGAGGGACTTGAGTGCTAAAGTTGGTAGAGCGGGTTGGAAGTTGTGCCAGCCTGTAGGCACATGTCACATTAAGGCCGCATTTAATGCTAAGCGGCGTTACAGACCATGAAAGAAAGATTCGAAATTCGATCAATATAAGACGACTCGATACTCTCTTAAAATAAAGCCGACTTATTTTAGAGAGTAGGGGGCTTGTGATGGTACCATGGATTGCAACCATGACCCAAGAATCATTTTAAGATAAGCACATCAACGGGATCAGCCCATTAGTTGAGATTAATAATAAATAATAGCCACTGGGTCTGGTTAGGAATCCAACCCGCGAAAGGAACCCACAATCAGGCCAGGTTGGACAGCAGACCTCGAGCCCGGGCGAAGTTCTAGCGAGGCCAGGCTCTTCCTATGGCTTACGTGGCAAACTATCATTTGAACATAACTATCTAGCAGCGGCAGGAATAACTGAAGAGACGTGGACCTGATGGAACAATGATTGCACAACGTTCGAGACATTACAAAACACTTATTATACTTAATTGCATTAAATATATCGGTTTCCTCTTAGAATACTAGAACCTAAGGTTTATAATTACTTCGTGTACACATCCTACCAAGGTTACAAATTCCAGAATAATAATACTCTCTTACGCTGCCTAAATTTCATCTGCTCTCGTAGATTAGCTCTTGTAATTGAAACTAAACTTCATCAATTACGATTTGAACCGGATTGAAGCTGAAACCGCAAATTTCAAAAAGTTTGGATTGAAGACTGATCCGGTTCAAAACCGTTCTAGGTCTGAACCATCCGGTCCAATTTGGACCGGTCCCATTCGGTCCAGTTTTCGAGTCTGGAACTCTGGACCAGAATCCTATTTGTTGGTAAAAACGCCAACGGTGGTTTTGGGGAAAGGTTTACCGGAGTCTTTTCTGGTACGACCCATTTTTCACAATCCTTTCTCGTTCATCCCCCTCCAGCCTTCCGCCGTCCGATTCTTACCTTGCTCTTCCTCACCAGCCGGAGCTCATCCGGTTCGGATTTCTACACCGGAGATCTATCGACCGACCGACCGACCGACGTACATATATCAGTAAAAATTTACGTAGTATTTATTTGACGCTAAATAGATCGACTATCGATGACGAAGAAACGAAAGTCCCTTGCCACGAGCTTAGACGAGGTGGACCGAACCATGTACTCTTCGTTCAGCAGCGCAGCGAACTCCCTCTCGCAGATGTATACTCAGGCGATGAACCAGCAAAAGCTATCCTTCCAAGCGGGTGAACGTCACGGACTGGTGAATCCTTTGCCTATAAATTTATTTATTCATTTCAAAACTTGTCTATACATTTATGATTCTACTTATGGGTGATTTCCTGTTGTAATGTGTGTGCTTATTCACGAAGGTCGAATTAAAAGTTAGGTTTAAATTCTTTTTGGTTTGGTATGACTGTTATTATTTCTATAAACCAACCTCTTCTGTTATCTAAAAGGTGCTCAGTTATTCAGCTTTTGCAATTAGTCGGGCCTCTATATTTTGAAATTCAGTGCATCTGTCTCTCCATTTATAAGCACGACTTTCTGGTGAATTTCAATCTTTCTACTAATTTGTATTTGCATGACAAACTATTTTCGTATCTGTAGGTGGTATGTTTACCAAGATTTTGAATAGCTTTTGAGTATTCATTCCATACTCCTTTCTTGTAATTGTGGATAATGTTACCGGACTCCCCCTTTTTGTTGTTTTGTATGTTTATTTGGTTAAAGATATTCTATAAATGAAGGGATGCTCACTTTAGACTTTAAACTTTTCTAGTTTTTTTTGTGTGTGTGATGTTTCGGTTGGGGTGTAGGTTTCGGCCCACTCAGATTTTTCATTTTCATTTACCCTAGTGCCGCAAAGGCTCCCACCTACGGTGGGTTAAGGGGGTCGGATGTACGCAGTCTTACCCCTGTACTAAAAGCATTTCCGGAAGACCCATAGTGAAAATCGCGTCCAAAATTGCATGGACTGACTGTTGCTTCATCTTCCCCAATTGCTTATTTATCCATTGTAGCCTACTGTAAAACCTCTGAAACTTACCATAAGTAGGCCTGAACTTGTCATTGGTATCAGAGCATCGTTCCTGCCACCTGTCACTGGTCGCTAAGCGCAGAACTATGGAAGAAAGACTGGAGAGTCTGGTACGCGACCGCGAGGAGATGCGGAACAGTATCGAGGGGTTGCAGAACAGTATCGAGGGGTTGCGGAACGATGGTGACAAGGTGCGAAGAGATATCGCCGATTTGCGCGAACTGATTCTGCAGCAGAAAGCTCAACGTGTGCGAAGAAGATCAAGAAACTCGAGTAGCAATGCTCAACATGACTGTCCTCACCGATCGTCATCGTGAACCGTTTCTGCTGGTTCCCAGATTTTGTCTCAATTGCTAAGTTTGCAGGTCCCATCACGAGCAACTTTTCACCGTTCACAGGCTCTATCGCAGAATTCTTCGCAGGTTCTTTCATCAGATCTCAGTTCGCATCAAAGTGTGACTCGATTGATGGAAAAATTTTCCAGTTCGCAGTTGCGAACAGTTCCTCCCAGTTCGCAGTTGCGAACAGTTCCTCCCAGTTCGCAGATGCGAACAGTTCCTTCAAGTTCGCAGGATTCTTCACTCACCGATCTTTACCATTCATTTTCATCGCCCTTCGATTCTTATATGTGGTTGACGGACTTACATACAATTAATGTAATTCTGTTGATGAAGATCCTCCGGAATATTTCTATAAAAATGAGCCTCTTTGGGCCAGATGGGTTTATGGTTACTCTTTGAAAAGCAAAGGATTGGCAAAAGTGCTCGAAGGACTCTTCACAAAGTTGGTTCAAGTACAGACTACTGAGGCTACTAGGATGCTTAAAAATACATGTTTTTTTGTAACCCTCAAATAACCACACGTGCGAAACCTGAAATATAACAAGCGATAAGTGTCAAATTGGACACTATGTTCACATGGGAATCTCATATTGGATATTAAGGTTTCAAATGGACCAAATTGGACACTATGGTTACACATGTATGATGTATCTCATATTGGACACTACAGTTTCAAATGGATCAAATTTAACGTTTTTCTGATCATTTTTCGACACCCCACCAAGATTTTCACATTTAAAAGCTATAAGTGTTCCTTTCTCGCTTTGTTTTATGTACATAAAAAATAAAACTAACTTAATTCGTGTATTTTGATTTAGAATATATAATTAGATGTTCCAGTTAAGAAAATCTATTATAATGTAATTGAATTCTTTAATTTTGTTAAATCTATTTATAAAATCGATATTTCCCAAAGTTCCATAAAAATCATGTGAATAAAAAGTCCTAAATATATTTTTAACTTGTTAAATATAAGAAGATATTAATTAAATTCAAATTATATGTTCTAAAACCTCAAATTAAATATTCCAAAATTATATTTCCTCCGTAACATTTATATCTTCCTACTTTCTTTTTTTGGATGTAACATTCATGTCTTCCCATTTCATAATCTTCCAATCATACCCTCAATAATTTTAAAAATAATACACTATTACACCTACTTTTTTGGATTTATCTTTCATTTCAACACATTATTTCACTATCTTCCTATCATACCCTCAATAATTTATATCCACCTTCACTATTCTTAATCTACCTACTTTTCAAATGGGAACATATATATGTTACGGAGGGAGTATACATAAATTATATTAGTTTATCTTCACCAAAAAGAAAGGAAATTATTATTATTATTATTATTATTATTATTATTATTATTATTATTATTATTATTATTATTATTATTATTATTATTATTATTATTATTATTATTATTATTATTATTATTATTATTATTATTATTATTATTATTATTATTATTATTATTATTATTATTATTATTATTATTATTATTATTATTATTATTATTATTATTATTATTATTATTATTATTATTATTATTATTATTATTATTATTATTATTATTATTATTATTATTATTATTATTATTATTATTATTATTATTATTATTATTATTATTATTATTATTATTATTATTATTATTATTATTATTATTATTATTATTATTATTATTATTATGAAAAGGCATTTTATTAGGATAAGAAAAGTAGGAGATTACAAGGAACAAGTGGGGAGCCTAGCAACAAGTTGAGCTCCAACACCTTTTTGAATAGCTAAACCAATTCTAATAAAAAGAAAATTGCCTACTTTTAAGGTGGAATCATGCCTAGCTATATGATTCTTAACACGTTTTAGAAACAAAACTGAATCCGATCCAAGTTCCCCCAACGTGGTGAAGCCCAAAGTGCCAAATTTGTATCCATTAGCTTGACATATATCAGCATATTTGTGTTGCTTCCTCTCAATAGCTCTAGTTAAGGCCAAACCAGGTTTAAAATTCTCAAGAACCACATCTCCTGCAAAGGGTGAAACAACAGTGACATCCAAACATGTGTCCCCTCCACCATCCCATCCATAAAGAAGAATATCAGCAGGTTTAGCACCACTGCCCTGTTGTGTAATGAACCCAAGAGGAGCTTCAATCCTGTGAGATATACCAGCCCGAAAACAAATATCAGCCACAGTGTCACGAACCAAATTATGCCTAAATTTTGGACCAATCAGGCTGGAACAATGAAGAGCATGATCTCCCCAGATATCCATATTACCTAAGCAACATGAACAACAAGCCCCAACTTGGAAGAGAGGAATGCCAAGCCTATATGCGAGAATAGCAGTGAACTGCCTGGGGCTAAGGACCTGACCTAACCCTTCAGCAGGAATTGCAAGTAGAAAGTCCATTGCATGTTTCAATTTATTACTTCTCCAAAGAGCTAAATCCCTGCAACTCATATTATAATTGGATGCCATATTCTTGACTACCCAAGAAAAGTACTGTGATGCCAGGGTTTTCATAGGATGTGGGGCAACTACAGTATCAACTTGAGTAGAAGAGAGACCACAAGCTTGATTAAAGTTATTCTGGGCAAGCTGCAGGGGCAAAAAATTATCTGAAATTGAAGTATTATTATTATTATTATTATTATTATTATTATTATTATTATTATTATTATTATTATTATTATTATTATTATTATTATTATTATTATTATTATTATTATTATTATTATTATTATTATTATTATTATTATTATTATTATTATTATTATTATTATTATTATTATTATTATTACTATTACTATTATTATTATTATTATTATTATTATTATTATTATTATTATTATTATTATTATTATTATTATTATTATTATTATTATTATTATTATTATTATTATTATTATTATTATTATTATTATTATTATTATTATTATTATTATTATTATTATTATTATTATTATTATTATTATTATTATTATTATTATTATTATTATTATTATTATTATTATTATTATTATTATTATTATTATTATTATTATTATTATTATTATTATTATTATTATTATTATTATTATTATTATTATTATTATTATTATTATTATTATTATTATTATTATTATTATTATTATTATTATTATTATTATTATTATTATTATTATTATTATTATTATTATTATTATTATTATTATTATTATTATTATTATTATTATTATTATTATTATTATTATTATTATTATTATTATTATTATTATTATTATTATTATTATTATTATTATTATTATTATTATTATTATTATTATTATTATTATTATTATTATTATTATTATTATTATTATTATTATTATTATTATTATTATTATTATTATTATTATTATTATTATTATTATTATTATTATTATTATTATTATTATTATTATTATTATTATTATTATTATTATTATTATTATTATTATTATTATTATTATTATTATTATTATTATTATTATTATTATTATTATTATTATTATTATTATTATTATTATTATTATTATTATTATTATTATTATTATTATTATTATTATTATTATTATTATTATTATTATTATTATTATTATTATTATTATTATTATTATTATTATTATTATTATTATTATTATTATTATTATTATTATTATTATTATTATTATTATTATTATTATTATTATTATTATTATTTCTATTATTTCTATTATTACTATTATTACTATTATTACTATTATTACTATTATTACTATTATTATTATTCTCTACAGCCCAGGGCCCTATCAAAGTGAGTGTCCAAAAACTATGAATTATAAACTTTAGTTTCCAATATGAGATACACATGTAACCATAGTGTCCAAT